TCCCGGTCATGTTGTGATGGTGTCCCCGTCATGTCATGCTGGTGTCCCGGTCACCTTGTGATGGTGTCCCAATCATGTTGTGACGGTGTCTCGGTCATGTTTTGATGGTGCCCTGGTCATTTTGTGATGGTGTCCCGGTTATGTGATGATGGTGTCCAAGGAAGAGATGGTCGATGTGTTGAAAACAGCAGCTGTTTCCAGATTTTTCTTTTTGTCCCGGTTTGTATCTTGCTATTGGGGTCTCCAGCTGGGCTAATTTTTGAATATCTTTTCGAAGCCTCACAAAAGGTCGGTTCTTGTGTGGCTTTCTGAATCCATCGAAGCCATCATCTTGGAAGAACAGCCGACACCCCGGGGGGTTCCCCGAACCCGCCGCAACTGTGTCGCGTCGCTGGAGGGAACCGCTTTCTCCGCTGCCGCTGCCGTTCGGTTGAACCACTTTCGTCCTTGAGGGCCGCGAAGACATCGTCGGAGCCAATGATGGACTTGACACCGCTGGAGAGCTGATCCTCGGCAGATGGGCGCTCCGCCCCCAGAGATCCCGGACGGTTTCTCACGAAAGAAGACATCGAGTTCGATGAAATCAGGTTCAGGGTTTAGGGACCCCGGTTGAACATTTCTGAAAGCACCGTCTTCTTCGCTTTGAAGTACAAAGTTCTGCCACCATCAGCCCGCATGGCGTCGTCCCGTGCGGGGTTTAGGGAGCGATATCGGCGGTACTATGCGGGCGCCCCACCTGCAGGACTCGACCCCTTCGTACCTCGGAACCCAGTCGTACCTGGTTTTGGGCATGTGCGGCATGTTCCCATTTTCGAAGGTACGAACGAAGTCACGTCCAGGTTTTGTTGGCATTTCTGGGGTCTCTTTTTGGGATGTAATCGCTGAATCATAGAGGGTGGGTTCTGTTTCACGTCTCAAACGTGTTGTATTTCTGTCTTTGTGAAGTTCTCTTAGCAAATCTTAGCAGTATTCCAGGTTTTTGGTTGAGAATCTGCAGCACAAACAGAACAGGCAAATGATGCCCAAACACTCCGTGCATGGAATATCTATACCAGCACCGTGGCAAGTCACCAACTGAGACCTGGTCTTGAGCCCTTTTCAATCCAGAGGAGTTCTGGTCATGTATGGTAGTGAGGATACTCTTGTTGATGGGCGAAACGAGCTAATCAGCTACTAGTAGTGATGTCCTGACATCGCCCCCAGCACCGCTAGGTGTTGATTCGGTCTATGCCCGGTCAACAGGCTCCATCCATTCGAGCGTTCCACGGTGTGATGCCTGGCAGCGTACGGCAGCGTGTCATGCAGTGACGGTGCTTGACCTGGTCCGGGTCGTAAAAAGGTGGGTCCAAAGGCACCGTCCAGACCCCCCCAAAAAAAACCATCCCAGAGATGGAAGCGGACCTAGTTTGATACTCCAACATCCTGACAGAAAACAGCTCTTCTGTTCCTTCGGCTCCTAGGGAGAACGCTTACATCGTCGTGGTCTGGCATTGGCAGTGAACGACCAGGCCGCCAGGCCGAAAGAAACACACGAAAGAAACCATACACATGTCACCCATCCCCGTGTCAAGGTTCCCCTAACGGCCAGAACTGGGTACTGCCGCCTTAGGGCCTTTGATGCTCCGCTTCGCTTCACACCGTTCTGAACACGTCGGATGGTTATGACCAGGTTCTTCCACAGAGTAAGGATCATGCTTCTCTTCAGATTCAGACCCCTCTCCTGGGCGGGTCGTGTCGTGGTCGTTTTTGGAGCGAGGGTGTGGTGGTGTCATCAATGTCTCAACCGTTTCATCGCCAAGCGAGGCAATGGGTCATGTTGGGGGCACAACGGAACCTCTTCTATGGCACTGGAAGAGCCCTGGAGTGTTGGCAGAGTGCATCACATCCCATGAAAACAGAATACCAGGCGCACGGATCTTTTTGTGCCACTCTCGATGTAGTTTCTGGAAGCGAAGCTCAGAGGTCGTTCGAAGATTCGTTCGGCGAAAGAATGCCCGAGCCAAACTGTTTTGATCACGTTGGTCTCCGTGAGTTGGTCCCCAACCAACCGTCCTTTCTCGGACCACCGCGGTCGCTCGCCTCCGCGAAAGGGTCCGGTCTGACCGAACCAAGGGCACCCGGACGGTCGAGTGCGGATCTGTTCATCCCATCCGGAACCGTCGAGGTCGGACGGTCGGAGGGGTTTTCCGGACCCCAACACGGTGGGCGAACGGTGGGGGGGATCGCGCGCAGGAGTGGCACGCGTTCGGCATGTCACTGCGTTCGGAAAGGTGCATTGGGTAGTGGCGCTGTGGGTGGCACCCTTGCCCGGAACTCACCCTGGTAGATTGACCAAGCCTAGTCTCTTCATTTTCGGGTGAAAAAACAACAAGGTTCCCCAGTTTTGACCCATGGCCATGCAGACCTTTGTTAGTTATGCTTGTCTAGCAAACTCCCTCTAGTTCGACCAAACCGTGCTTTTTGGGCGCGGTTTGGAAACCCAAATCGGTCTGCACGGTGGGACCGGAGAGGGCCATCGCTGGGTTCCACCCAGTTTGACCTGTGGAACATGCCCTGCAGGACAAGTGGCCATCGTCACTGCACCTCAGTGGCCGGAAGGGGAGCCTATCGATAGACACATCCCGGGAAGGGTGTTTTCCTTGCATTTCGCAAAGACGGTCCCAAACCCTCTAAAACGACTCATGTTCCGTGCGTCTTTTGTTTCCATGTTTCAAAAGCCAAGGCTCTCCTCCTCCTCATCTTCAGATTCATCATCGGCCCAGGTGACTTCCTTCTTTCCACCCCTGCGCAGAACTTGCGGGGAAGGCTGAACCTGTTGGTGCGCAGCTTGGCTCCGCTGGAAATCCTTTGGGTGCGTCCGATCTAGCAAAAAACCGGCCCAAAGAGACATGGAAACATCTGCAAACATCTGCATTGGCATTCTCTTCCCCTTGTTCACAAAACAAACTCAAACTGCATACCTCACGGCCAAAAAATAACAGATGCCCCCAGTCTGCCCTGTCTGTCTGTGCTCTCCAGAAGGTGAACGTTTTTTTTGCGTGCTCGGACCTCATTCCCCTAGTGGCCTCAATGAATACAGCATGCGTTTGCATATGACGCATCAAACAACGAAAAACATGCTGGTACTACGTCAGGATCCATTCGGCACAGAACAGCGTTTCTCGATCATGTCGAGGGTCCGGGTTTTGACACGTGTGACCATACCACACCTATAGTGAGACCCCCTGGCGCAATCGCTTTTGGTCTAGTTTTTCCTTCCAGGGGTCGAACTGGGAGGTCTCCCTATTTCAATACACACCCATTTAGTTTTAACCAGTCCTCATTGATGCAAACATCCAAACCTTCACCTCTGCGTAGGTCAAACATGGTCTGCGCCGAACAGCAAGCGTCATTGAGAGCTGTTCGGCATGGCAAGGGTTTTGTCTCAAGAGCAGAAGGCCACAGGCGTCGCCTAAAAAGGGTCACTTCTACTAGGACCCACTGTCAGGGTGGCGAATGACCCCTTCACCTCTAAGGGGCCTATCAATAGACACCCCTTGGAGGGTCCTGGTGGTTCCAGGCATTTCCAAGGCAACATCATCAGAATGGTCCCATCGCGTGGACCTGCGACCGACCTATCGACCTGTCGACCAGTACGGCCGGGTCGAGCCTCAAGTCGACGATCCTTTCACCTCCAAGTAGGAGGTTCCCAACCTGAAATCAGCTACCAACAAAAACCCTTCTTTATAGAGTTGACTGGACTCCTCCTTCCCTTGTGCCCAGCCATCAAATACCCTTCTAGAAATAGAGCTTTTGGACTCCAAATACCCGCACCCCCCACCGACCACCGACCATCGACCGCACTCACCACGGAAACCTGGGCGGCCTGTGAGGATCGCCCCAAGTGACCACTGTGCCACCTTCCTTCAACGCTGCAAAGGCACAGCCACCACCTCGCCGCAACCCACGTCGCGCGGGGTGTGTGGGTGCAGAACGTGGAGGAAATCGTGAGCGCCGGGCTTTGGTTTTTCCGAGGCAAGCCCGGATGGGGCACCGGTGGCGGGTTTCTTGCGGAACCAACGTTGGATTGCGGACTTGGAGGGATGGATGATCGATGTGACTCCATATGATTCCACCAGTCAGGGACCCTGGGATGGAAAAGAAGCCGAGTGATGGACCCAGAGCGTACCCTTCCAGCTCTTGGTGAGGCGAATGCTTCTTCGAAAGTTGGAGGTCAAAGTCAATCACAAACCCGATTGGCCTCCAGTCGTACCGAACCGCTTCGGTACGGTGGGACGACCGGTGCCCGGGTGCCAGGAGGGTTCAGTCATACCGCACCGGAGGTGGTAGGGCAACAGAGGGTTTTTCAGGATCCTCTCCCAGTTCACTACCCGACCAACGTTCACCAACGTTCACCAAACACGCCGTGCGTAACACTCGCCGCGCTGCAGATCACGGAGCACACGCCACTTTGGAGTTGCTCGGCCACGGCACTGGAGTCGCCGCCTAAGGAAGAGCATGGGCCGATGGACTAGGTGCAAGGATGCGAACCGAACGGGGCATCGGTACAAGGAACAAAGGGCATCGCTACCAGGAACGGGGCAAGCTACTAGTAGCTCTCTGCCTACTTCCTACGTTTGAGAGTTCAGACAATTGGAACATCTGCGAGGTTTCAAAAGAGGATCATGCATCATGTCATGTGGCCGTGGGTGGCACCTGGGCACTTGACCCCGACCCCGGGTCAAATTTGAATCGATTCCGTGTTCGGGATGTCAACTGAAACCATGGTTTGGACCCTCCACTACCTGTACCTTAGCAACAGTGACTTCCCCAAAACCAGGCACTTGGACTTTCCCGTCCCTCGGAGGGAGCGAGCTCTGGGAGGGAGTCCCAGCTTGGCTTCCTCGTCCCCACCGGAAACCCGTCCGCCACGCCACGAAGAGCCTACTGGCCGGTACGAGAGACTGACATCCGCACCGGAGACAACAAGTGCATTACTTCCAGTGGTAGTAATGCCCTTGTTAGTAGCTCACTTACTGACATCCAAGGCACCCACTGCATCCAGGCCCCAGGTCATCACAGCCCCAGCGCTGGTGAGCGCGGCGAAGGCGCCACCTGCCCAATCACGCGCTGCTTTTCGATGAAGACAAGCAAACATGAAAGCTTCTTGCTACTAGTAGTAAGAATGCTCCTAGTAGCAATGCAAGGAGCCCCTAGTAGCTATACCCAAACACGACCTGTGACTGGCATATTGGCCGATCAGAGATCAGGTGGTTGATTTCGGGTAAATGTAGGTATACAGTAAATATTCCACACATGGAGATGGAGTGTCTATGTTTGAACGCCCTACCCAGGTTTTGAACTTTTGCTTTTAGCGCATGCGATCGGAACTATAAGAGTCAGGATCCATGGAGGGGGGTACTGAGATCCATCCCTATTGGTGTGGGGGTGTTCCAGTAAACCTCTAACAGTCAGTCAGGTTTCACAAGAACATCACGATTTTAGAGATGGAAAGGCCTGCAACCAGGTCCCATCATCCTCCACCGTTATGATAGACCCAACCCCCCCCATCAACGGGTCGCTGAAACTTTGTACCAGAGAGCTTTAGCTGGGGGTAGACGACTCGCCTGGAAGGTCTTTTGGTTCTATCAGCAGTTGACATGATCAAACATTTGGATTAAAGGGTTCACAGAACTGCTGCAAACCAGATCTCTGAATCGTTTGAAGCAGCATTCCTTCGCATGAGTCCAGTTGAAGTTTCTTTTCGGAGGGCTTTCTTTTTGTTTTTTGTTTGGCAATTTTCCTTCATCCTACTTGGAAGGACTAAGACCAAGCAAGATCGAGAAAGCTGATGGCTCAAACCCAGTGGACCAAGGTAAACCACGAACGTTTGCTGTTCACCAGTGGTGATCAAACGGAACGACGACTCAAACACGGAGAGCAAAGGGAACGAGCCCCGGATCCGGTTCCTAGCCCTACTTGGTGCCTGGTTTGGGTTCCACTGGGAAAAATACTCAACAGTGGACATGATGGGCTTCCCCTCCGGACACAAGAAAGGAACTGACCCGTTGAGGAGCTGACAACGGTGATGCTGAAACAGTCATGCCTATCCAGTAATGTGGACTCTTGATTGATCAAACACCACAATTTGGATGCGCGCACTTGCGGTCAAACGCTCCCACTAGCCATCCCTTGCTAACAGGTGTAGCGGGCGCGGGTGGGCATGGCTAAGTCTGGGGTGACACGTATGAAAAACCAACACCTATGTACACTACGAAAGAAACACTCTACGAATGCAAGACGAACAAAAACAGGCATGGAAATTCAGAAGGCGCAACTAAATGACTCCTGGGTGATTGATGAGGTCGAAACTCTTCTTTCTGGCCATGTGATTGCGCACCAAGCGTGAGACATTTTCCCTTTTGTGAAGATTAACTTCAGGCCAGTCAGGCCAGTCAGGCTTGGGTGCAGTGGATGGAACCATGGAGAGTTCGATATCCGTATGATACGGTGGATTGTGTGGGAGCGTGAGTAAGGTTCCTTGTATCCAAGCATATACTTCTGTTGCATATGGGAGTGTGGGTCTCCTAGCGATTCCGCGTCGTTGGTCCATTGCGAACCCAAGGCGTGTAAGGCTTGTTGCGCCTGGTTGTGCGTACGTAGGCTTAATTTAGATGAGGAGAACGTCTGGATATGTTTTACGATATATCGAAAAGATTCTGAGATAACACGTAAGGAACGGTTTTTAAGGGGCAGAAGCCTTACCTTGTCATCATCATGGGCGTGCGCATGCCAGACTAACACATTGTTGGAAGTGCCTGAGATGATGTCGGATCAGTGGACAGCGTGAGAACTCCACCGCCGATGAGACAAAGAAGAGACCAAGCATCTCGGTCGATGCTTTCGCAGGCCATGAGCGCAGGATTAATAGTCTGCCCCAACATGTCTCGTTCCACTGCGTTCATGAAACCGGGGAATGTGGCGACGTTCACAGTTCCTGTTGGCACACTTGTGCGGATAGTCAATTCCGCTTGATTCGTCCCAACCAGACATTCAGCTGCCAATGCTACTGAAGCTAGTCTTGCAATGAGCCTGACTGTCCGGAGCAGACTTTGCCACCAATGTCTGCCTTCCGTATCCCAGCAATGTGTTGCTGAACGGCGACTTCAACTGTTCATCAAGCGTGGATAAGACCATCGACCAGCTCGAAATGACCTTAGAGCTGACAGAGTCGCTCTGAAATGCTGTTGTCCACGATGGCCCGTCTGCTTTCCACTCCTTACGATTCCTGTAGTTTCTGACATCGCCACACGCAAAGGCCTGATCGCAAGTTCCATCTTGAGCCTCTGTGTGTATGCTGCAACGCCTTCTCCCCGAACGAAGTGTTCTAAGACCGCAGTCAGTGATACTTCCCGAGCCAGTGTTCTCAGCAGTGCTTCATCTACTGTAACCTGAAAAGGACCTTTTCCAATCTCAATCGAATCGGAAGTCGGTTCCGACCATTGAAGACCATTTGTAAGATTTTGTTTCGAAATCGCCGGAGTTTTGGCTGTTGAAGGTCTCGCAACAATGATTTCCAACTCTGGTTTGAAAGGATCTCTTACCCAGTCTGCCATGGCGTCAACACGCGCAGAAGAGAATGTGGTTGTCCAAATAATTTCTAGCATGCCAACAATTATGTGACGTTTTCAATCAATTGACCGTGATAGCTGGGAGATTTGAATGTAAATGTATATATATGTGAGCACTGAACAGCGCGTACAGTCAGAGCAATGAGCAGGGAACGACAATAACAAAGTGAATGGACGAAATGCATACAGACAAAACACACACTTTTTTGCACAGAGGACGAGCGAATTTCAAGATTTCCAAAAACTACCCTCCTCTCTTTTTTAAATCTTCACATATTTGCAAATTGGTAATGTGACGTTTCTCCTCTTGGAAGTCACCTCTGTTTCCATGACATCTTGCATTGCGGACACGAATGGTTGTTGTGGTAAAGTTTGTTTTCTGTCATGGACTTTGAGCACACCTTGTTGCAAGTTGGACATTGCTGTGTGCAAAACACAGCCTGACCACGCTCAACCTTTTATCCACGCATTGTAGGCGCAGCCCCCAAGGGCATGGCACCCCCCTGATGTTGTGCATCCCCTGGACCACATCCACCCATATTCCCATGGGATGATGTGTTTCTCCAAGACGCAGCTTGACCTGGTCCAGGACTTGTGGATGGGGCATTGGTAGTGGTGTCAATGTTCGCAGTGGTTTCTGCTGTAGCATTCGCCAACTCATACACATGATGTGCCAACCAGCGAAGCTATTTTTTCCCAGGAAAGAAGCCAAGGAAGCTATGAGGCTCAAGATGAACGTGCAAACCACTTCTGGGTTAGGCTGCTCCATAATCACAATCAACTCGCGTCAGAAGCTTGAACTCAAGACAGTTGCTTGCGATACAATATACAGTAAGTTGTTTGACGCAAGGACGACAAAATGTCTTTAAAAAACTGTCGCAATTTGGATGCACGGACTTGCGGGCACGCTCCCAACAACCGTCCCTTGCTCACGGGTGGGGCGGGTGCAGGTGGGCATGGCTAGGTCTTGTGTGACACGTGAAAATCAGCTGCCTATGTACACTACGAACAACTACAGCGTGCAAGGACAAAGGAACGCATGTGAAGGCACTGTGTGGCCGCGACAGCAAGAATACCAAGCACAAAATGACGGGTCAAATTTCCAGCAAAGCACAGAATTGATTTCAGGATGGCGAATTAAAGCCAAACTTTTCTTCCGTGTGGTTGCGCACCATGCGAGAAAAACTCTCTCTTTGTGGAAGACTAATTTCAGGCCACGCTGGCCATTCTGGCTTCGGTGCTGTGGCAGGAATAGTAGGGATGTCGATCTCCGTATGACACGGAGGGTTGTGAGGGAGGGGCAAAATCTTGTAACCATTTGTAAACCTCAGTTGCATTTGGCAATTTGGGTCTCCGAGAATTCTGCAGCGCTGATCCATAGCAAATTTTAAGCAGGTTAAACATGTAGCACCTTGCAGTGCATAGGTTGGAATGAGCTTTGTGGAAGAAAAGGTGTGTATGTGCTTAACCATATACCTAAAGGATTCTGAGACCACCCTTAATGAATGGTTTTTGAGCGGTATCACAATTGCATCTTTGCATCTGTTTTCATCGTATGCGTGCCAAATTTTGCCAGCGCAAATCTTTATTGGTGGATAACGCTGAGACCATTGCGTGAAGGATAGTGCTAATTTGGTCCGTGTAATACCTGGGTCGTCCGGGTGTTCGGGTGATGCCGGACATGGCCATTGAATCTGATTGCAGAAAACCCAGACCAAGCGCGTAATATCAACCAGACGACTTGGTGGGGTACACCTGGTTGTGGATAGACTTGCGTACCTATTGACCATGCGGTAAATTTGCGAATCTGCTCCTTAAGATGGTGATGTGGGCCACTTGAATCGGCACGTGTGCTTCTGACTGGGTTATCCGGGGATGTGTCTTCAAAGTTCGTGCGTGTATAGGCCAGTTCAAGTAGGTAAGCATAAACTTTCGCATAGGTTTGCTTTTCATTCCTATAATGTTTCCTAACTTCTTGACAAAGACGGGAGAATTCTGGTAGGTCAGTTTCCTTGTTTGTACAGCGGTCTTATCGGCACATGCGTTGCTGCGTTGTCATGAATATTCCACAGATCTTCCATAGATTTAGCGTCGCCATACTCTCTATGAGAACTGATTTTTAAAGCTGCATTCTTAGCCGGCCTCAAATATGCATAAGACGTTGGATCAAATCCCATTGGGGATGATGATGTATAGCGCGCGATTCGATAGCCTCAATGATATTGAAGATGACAAAATGGGAGTCGGTACACAGACTGACACGTGTCTGCAGTGCAAAACAAATTGCATGTTCTGTAGCGATTACGAATGCAAATAACTCGGCCCTATTGATTGTCTGTCTGCCGGGCAGTGTCCACCAGCGGTAATGGTCAAGGTCATGGCTTGTGGGGTCACGTACGTCGGCTTGGCGAAGAACCACCGCCCGTGCCGCCCTTGCTACGCATGGGTCTGTGGGTTCATCGTGTTGACGGCCTGATTTAACGTCGTGTGGACGCGCAAGTGCATTGATTGTCTTATGAGTGCGACGTCCAGCGAGTGTATGGGAAGGGGGAACCAACACGCTCGTGGATGGTTGTGCATATAACCGGGGAGGGAAAGGAAAACTCTCAGGGGATCCCACAAGCCGAACCTACATCAAGCGGCACGTAGCCTACTTGACACCTACCAATCCGGGGACGTACCCCTGAAGGATTGGTGACCTTACGGCATGTGTCGGGACGAGAAACGGACCGAGATACCGGATCATAGTATAGAGCGGGGGAAGACACAAAATGGCACTGTGTAAAAGATCTGAAAGCAATGAAGGCGGGACCTCAATCATCTTGGTCGGCGCGTGGTTTGCCTTTGCCTTTGCCTTTGCCGCGTCGTTGGGAATCCTTGCCTTTGCCTTTACCACGTTGTCCTTTCCCTTTCGCGCGAACTTTTGGGCCGCGATCCATATAGAGTTGGATCCCAGCTACATAGAGGGCCCAATTAAGGTCGGAGACCACTGTTGCGGTGAACAGCCGGGTTGGTTCGCCACGTTGTAAAATGAGCTGGAGGCCGCCGGCGCGGTCGCGGGAGACCCACTCGAGGTGGGGACCCAGCTGGAAGGCATTTGCAAGTGGGACAGATTCTGGCTTGTGGTTTGTAGAGCATCGTCGGTGAGTTCCTTGGTGAAAATTGTTTTCTGACCTCTGTGTCGAGACACCTGGCCACGCGGGAGCGGAGCTCCTTTGCTTCGAGCTCTTTGTTTTTAAAGCTGGCCCACAGAGCGACCAAAGCAGGACAATGTTCACACCGAAGACGGCGGTAGGCTTCTGCGAGCTCCACGGTTGTTTCCACCCGATCGACGTGTTGCTCCAGAGCGGTGACCCTGTCGGTGACCTCTTTAAGTTCCTTTTTGATGACCGGGCGTCCGGAAGCAGCCATGAGTGCAAGGCAGGGCAGAACGGCAAAAACAGTAGCAGTAGGCTCAGTTGAGGCTTCATGGCTACGGGCAAGGTAAACCTTTTTAAGCACGGAGCAGCGAGAAGCCCTCTGGGCCAGGGTTGCACGGCGCCTGGCGAAAAGAATTTGATTTGCCTTGAGATAGCAATGCCAATAAAGTAAGCCAATGCCAGACAGCAAACCCACTCCAAAGAGCAATGAACTCTAACAATAAGTTCTGGCCTACACTGGCGCCCAAAAAAAGGATCGGCGGTGAGCTGCAGGCATGGACTTCGGAGTCGGCCCCAGATTCTGCCGGTGGGAGGATCCAAGGAACGTGGGACCCGGAAAGCGAGTCAGAACTAATCATCCCTAAGGGTGCTGTTGGCTACCTTTGGGAATGGCACTAGTATGGCCGTCAGCTAGTGCTTATTGGGAGTGCGTATAGCGCTCATGGTTTTTCCGGGCCTGCGCAGAATCGAAAACGACCGGGCAATATTTACAGGTCCTATTGGCCGGATCAGGGCCGCGGCAGATAGGGCGATGCTGGGCGAGCCAAAAAATAGCTCCCACATGGCCTCTGCTTTCAGATCCTGGCCGTTTCCTCCATCCTGGCCAACTCCGACACCGACCTTGCATCGGTCCATACTTGCAAATCCACGCCAAAGTAAGGGCACTTGTGCGTCCCGTCCTGCAGGGTTCTCCTCGTTTCCGGCGTTCAGATCGTTCAGCAGCGACTGCATTTCAGCCTTCCTCATCGTCTTCGTCACTGAAACAACTTTCTCTTCCAACTCCTTTCTCAGCTCTGCCGCCTTCATCTTCTTCGCTGTGGCGGCCGCCTCTTCGCTGGAGGTCACCCCCTCAGCCACTCTTGGCTCTCGCACTCCCGACCTGCGCACAACATTCACACTTGATATGGCCCGAGGGAAAACCCCAATTTGGATTCTCATATGGGTTTTCATCAAGAGTCTACATTTTCCAAACCCGGACCATCCATGTATGGAATAGTTACGCGCATGTACCGTACCTATCTACGACTTAGCGTGTATCTATTCCATACACCGACTCCTTCAGTTTCACTGGACTCACCATCAGCGCTAACCTACACTTTCTACCTGTGAACAGGTGAAACGGCGGGGTGTCCCCATCACTTCTCCCCTCTGGAAGGTGGACCGGCAGGTGGGACGTACGATCCACCGGACGCAGCGTACGATCCGTCCCATGGAAGCGGTACGGAGGCACCGTGTAAGTTGAAGGTGCCACTCACGGAGATCACGTCCTTCAGCTTTTCATGGAGGCCTGAAGCAGGCTGCGAAGCAGACATGATCCGCCTGTTTAGCATGGGGGGTGACCCGATGTAGGTTTTTGAACCACCAGGGATCTACTTCACTTATGGAACCGGGGAAACAATATATTCCCTCTGCAGAATGCGTCTTTGTCTGGCCGAGATTGGAACTGATTTCTCAGTTTTCTGGCAAATCTTGACCCTGAGAGTCCAGTCGGCTCTTGAAAAAATACAGTTGACTAGAGATGACTAGAGCACCAAGAGGCATGGATTTCGTATTGCTTTACCCATTGGAAGGCTAGGTGGGGCAGGTTCAGACACTTATCTTGTACCGCAGAACAGCACGAAACACCACATCGACATCGATGAATGGATTAGATATGTGGGTTCCTGGAAACCCACTCAAGCCGCGCGAGTCGAACACATTGGCAGTAGAAGCTGGCGAAACAGGTACGAGACTGGTGGCAAGCGCAAAACCTGAAATGCATTTCTACCCACCCTAAGATGCATTATCAAGGCATATCAAGGCGCATCCTGTGTGGTTGTTGTTTGCATACGATGATTTGCAGCAAATGAACCACAGAATATCAATAAATGTATTAGTATTGAATACAGGGCAAAGAATCACACCTGCAATACTTGATCAAATCATTGATTCTGGGTCACCTTCCAATTTTCCCAGGATCCTTTCAACATCCAAACATCCCAAGGTCTGTTCTTCACCTCTGACGCATCTCCACGATCTCCATCCGGCTAAGTGCTAACCGGTGGACGTGTTAGGACCGATCGGACGCTACGGACCCCCGAGCGAGAAGCGACGCGACGAAGTAGGGGCTCCTGGCCTTGCTAAGAACGGAACAAGGTTCGCTACGAACGGAGCAGAGGGGTGTTCTTTCTTTTCCCGAAGAAGTCCAGTTCGACTATATTTTGACCAGCTGAAGTAAAGGATGTTCCCTTTCAGTTCCCCTAAAGACCATTCTTTTTGTAGTCTTTGACTCCCAGGGTTTCTCTTTTTGCGCTGCGCCATGCCTGGACCCGATGCCGAGTCCCGCACCGCTGGGAATCTCTCCGCCGAAGTTCGGCTGGCCCCAGGCGTAGACGTCACCATTCTCCTGGCACAGGAAGACGGGCACGAAGAACAGATCCATTTCCTTTTTGCATGTCGTGCAGAACAAGGTGGCCAATGTCCTTTGCCTGATGACGAAAAGTGTGTGAACCTCATGACACGTGTGCTTTTTGGTATTTTATTCGAAACCGGGAATCACCGCTCATTTCAGGGCAAGGATCTCTATCACTTGAAGCCTCCAAATCGTCCTTTCAGTCCCCCCCGGCCCCACGCGCGACCTCGGTCGACCGTGCGCGCCTTGAGAGCACAAAAGGCTTCATTCGTCTGGCTGATGCTTTTCACACCACTCTGCCTGGACCGAAGTCCACGGCATGTGACGTCCGAACTTCGGAAGGTCCGAGGGGTCAGTGCCACCCATTTTGCTGGAGGACCGGTGGTACATGACCCGGGGGTATAGCTATACAGCTATACATTATGGCTATATACCATGCTATACAATTCATGAACCAACCAAGTCCTGTTAAAGAGACTGCTCTGACGAAGGACCTGAGAAATTCTCCTTTCAAAGAACCGAGTGGATCCCAGTTGTGTAACGGCTTTTGGTCCCACTGGTTACCAACGAAAAGGCGGGGTTTGCCTGGATGGAAAAAAACGGAGCAATCCGTGGAAAACGGAGCCAATCGTCCAAGTCACATCGGTGGTGTTGGTTCCGTGGTCGACGGGGGGGTCGTCTGGTTCTCGTTGGAACGTCGTTATGTCTCGTTGCTTGGGAGTTCCACTCCTGGCAAGCGAGACTTGGACATCTTTGGGCGATGTTGGGAAGTCGAAGACCAGCTGTTCCAAAGCTTTTGATTCTCATCCAGGGGCTGTGGATATGGGCGTTTCGGGCACCCCCATTTCGTCCTCCCTTCGGAACCGTTCTGCAGCCGACATGGAGCTGCTGGTAGAACGCCGTTTGTTGGGATCGGATCAGTCGAGCCACAGGTGGTGCGCGATCGACTCAGGAATCTCTCCTCAGACATGTTCGACAGAGGCGTGAGGCGTCTGAGGCGTCTGAGGCGTCTTCCGAACGAAGCGACCATCCCGTTCGGAAGAAACGTGACCCAACCAAGAGAGGTAGCCAGTGACCGTAAATCCCGTCACCTGGGGTAGCGAACTGGGATAGTCGAACGTTCGGGTCATTCAACCTCTGGAACGTTTTGGGTGAAATCCCTAAGAATCCTTGGGCTCTCCATGGCAGGGGTCGGAACCGACCTCTTCGCAGGGGTCCGGGCCCTCAAAACCCTATGTGTTTGAGGGTCCGGATTCTTAGGGATCCATTTAATCATTCATCTTCTTTGGGGACACTTTGATCCGGCCCACCCAGACGCTGAAAATCCGTCTTTTCTTTCGACCGCACGTCAGAAGGGCCAACGGGGTCGGACCAAATCACACATCCCGTCGGATCTTTTTTGGGATCAGTGGACCAGGGCAACGCTTTGATCCACTTGCGACCTGGTCGGTCACCCAGTGGGCCAACGGGACGAAGCTGGACGCGTCGCGTGGTTCGACTGCGACGGGAGGAGCCCAAAGTCCCCAAAGCTGAATGGACAGCAGACCTGGGGGATACCTGAACCATCCCAGAGCTAAATGTGTCGTGGACGTGGTGCAGGGTAGTCCCAGTGACACCGAGGATGGTCGGATGGTCCTGACGGTATGCTCTTGTTCTGTTGTTCTCCTCTTTTGAGCTGATGTGCTTGTTCCCTATTGGTACATCCCAAAGTCTGTGGGATATCTATTTTCAGAAGGGGTAGCCATGGGGGATGGAGTGGTGTAGATTGCAGAAACACAGGTTTTTCTGCGGGTAGTGATATGCACACATTAGCAAAGGCAAAATAGCTTCTGAAAGCATCTTTGAATGGTCCTGGTATCATTCCAAGACATAGTTGAACGTCCAATCTCTGAGGAATTGGCCGGTGCTTAAAGAGCGCAGAAGACGCCACTCATCTGAGGTCGTCTGAGGCCGTGGCTACGCCACAGTACTACCCCTGGCGCACCACTGTGTCTGCACAGGTCAGCGGCGCACCCGACGGCGCCCCGACTCTGGGGACCTCGCTGGCGCATCCATTGGTTCCACCTCCTGTGACCTGCAATTCCAGTGGGACACTCCAATCCTGACACCCTCTGTTTCCCTGGAAACTTACGGGTTTCACCGAACTTGACTTCTTCGAGAAGTTGAAGCGGGGCCACTGGTCCACCTTTGCAGCACTTCCGGCCCCCCAAAAAGGTGAATGACCTGCAGGGGATCCACCTACTTGCTGGGTATGAATGACCTGCAGGGGATCCGCCACGCGATCCACGCGATCCACACCCTCCCTCGCCCAGCGTCCGCCCTGGCGCGGTGCTCCCCAGGCGAGTGCCTCACGGGCCCGAGACACGAGACCGAAAAAGGGACCAGCAACGCAAGCCTTTTTGAAGACTGGAAGTCTTTTGAAGCGGCCTCCACCCCAGCGATGGCCTCCAACCTAATATCTTTCTTAGCAATTTTTAGCCCTGAGAAGCCTGGAGGGTCTATAGAGTCTGTACCTGGACCCGACTGACCCAGTACCCTGTCTACATGATCTGAAACCACTTGTACCCATTTGCCTTCAGTGCTCGCGGGTCGACTCCAGGTCAGGTATGGAGTACATGGTGCATCTCGCTTTCTTCATATGTGTGAAGTGTATGATGTGCACCAAAACAAATGCACCATGTAAGGCTGCCAAACAGAAGAACCACCTTGAGGAGCCACAAATGCACTCCTGTTCTCGTCACCTCAAGCTTGTAAGGCTCGGTGTGTTGGTTCTTCGCAAACACAGCGGTGGAGCGTCGATGGTGCCGCGTCGACCATCGGTCGCCGAGCTGCGCGGGTGCCGGAACCCGGCGTGAAACGATTCACCCAAGCAGCAACCTACTATATTACACTACATAAACCCAAAGAAATCCTAGAAGAACCTTGGATGGGTCGTGATCTATCATGCTCGCTTCTTCCATTCTCAGCATGCTTTAAGGGGGTTCCCCACTGTAGAACCGAACCAACATGTACGTATTGGGTCAAAACAAAGCCCTGGTCAGTGATAGTCCTTTTGGGAATCAAGGGGTCAGTTGGGTACCGTTTGAACTACCAGTTCACTACCGGTTGAGTATCCCCTATCCCCTCAACCAACCAAGGGCGGTCAGGCCATCCCCCGTATACCCTCCGCTTCAAGCTTAAGGGAACAGGACCCAAAATATGGAACCTCCGGACCCGGGGACCCAGTTCTGGGAACATCTGCAATCCACCTGAGAAAAACCAGAACCTATGCCTAACTAAATGTGAAGTTTCCCTAGAAATCTAGGAACAAACAAACATCTAGGGGGGGTGGAGAACAAAAATCACAATCTAAGAACTCATACGCCCTATGCCACACACTCCCGTCACACTCCCGGAGCTGGGCGACTCCGATGGCGACGCGACTCCGGCGCCTGTCCACCCTGCTTGATGGCCACGAAGGCGGAGCGGTTGCCGTAGACCGCTTCCACGCCTTCTTGGAGCCTTGAGTGTCGAAGGCGCTTGCGGTTCGGTAGGACATCTTTGAAGCTGCAAAAAGGTAGACCTCAACGCCTTCTTGGTGGAAAGAATGGGTACAGATCTGCATACAGTTTTTTGTCCGGGTCATATTCCCATTTTCTTTGCGGTTCTTTGGAGGCTGCTCAAAACCTGGAGTCTGGAGTCAGTACGTCGGAAAATGGGTACAGTCATACCATGCATGTTGTACCTGTCTTTAGAAGGTCATGATCCAGTTTCTTTTCGGTACGCCCCGGGTGGCAAACCGAGACTCTCGGGGCTGGGGCCAAGGCAACCCGGGTCGCAACAAGAAGACGTGGCAGGGTCTGGATGCTATGGAAGATTCACTATTGACAGCATCCGAGAGTGTCTTGCATGAACAACATGTGCATACAAAGAAGGGAGAAGGGAAGGTTTCCAAACCCAACATGAAGGTCCTCAGACATTCTGGCTCATGAAGCCTTTTGGACAAAGACTGTAAAAATTAATGGCCTGCCTAGGGGACCTGAGTTCCGGGAATTTCCTTTCCTTCAAGGGATCCGATGTCATTTTGGACCACCCCATCAGTTCACCATCCACAACGCTTGGACAGCCCACAGCCAAGACACTCTGGCATCTCGCAGTTCAGTAGTGGGCTTTCATCTTCACTGTCACCTTGAGATACCCAAGATGTTGGGATTCCAACCACCATCAACTTAACGCTCTTTACCAAACATCCATTGTTTTACTCAGGTTCTTAGACTACAACACCCGGTCAACCGAACCCTTTTCCTTTGGTCGGTTTCCGGGTTCAGCCAGGTGTACCGTACCAGGGATTTTTGTGTGATGGGTTACCAACCCCCATAACGGCTGACTGCCAAAAACTCCTTGTCTCATCTGATGACACCGCCATCACTTCCCACCTTCTTGACGAAGACTTCAGCTTGGCGGGGTGGTATTGCTGTCCTTTAGGAAGTAAGGACGGGTTTCCAACAAGTAAAACAAGTCTATGTGCGTAGGGTGCCCTCGCTTTTGGGAGAGACACACATACAACAAATTACCAGGCTTCCGAAGGGGGGGTTTGCAAATTCTTAAGATGAAAGGCGGGTCATCTCTCATGTTCTTCATACCTTGTTTTGAAGGTTTCTCAATGTCTCTCATAAACAATAGCAAAATTCCGCTGAAGATCTCCCTGGGAAGGACAAGTAGACTAACATGGCAATGGGGTTTCCATGGATTTCCCGATGATTTCCCTATCTCCAGAAGCACTAGTCCTGCTGGTTCCTTTGAAGGTTCGATTTCTTTGACAGTGGGAGAAATGCTTTTCAAGGCTTCAGCTGAAGCCCAGCTACAATACCATCACGTCCCAAACAAACGTCATCACCACGATTATACAATGGGACTCTCTCTCTCTCTCTCTTCAAGACTGTTTGAATCCTATATACAGCTCTTTCTCCCCAACCAAGCGCATCAACGCCCTCCAGCCGCGGAAGTCTTTTCCTGGCCAAGATCACTCTCGGAGCCCCAGCAAACCTGAGTTGGATCATGTGTTGACCACCGCTAGAGACGCAAAAGGAACAAAACACGTCAACCACACGCCTGTGCCCGACTGGTCGTAACGCCACACCGCCAAGCACACGAGCCTTCCGTCGTCGACTCTGCAAGTTTGACACCCACGACTTGATGTGGTATCGCAATTCAGCATGGTGACCATGACTTCCAATCTTCCAGTCGTCTAGACGACCCACAACATCCACCGGAGAGACCTGTCACTGTGCTGGTTCCCTTCTGCCGACCACACGGTGGTCTGGCCTTTTTGGATCACTTCAGACACCCGGCGTGAACGCCGTCTTCGTCGCAACGATCCCGGCCACCGGAGAGGTCTCAACGCCCAGGAACGACCTGGCCACCCGATTTCCGCGCCGCAAAGGCGTTGCCCATCCCGGAGGTCACACTGAGCACGCCAGAAGTCAGCTGCGGAGACACCCTCCTGTGGCGGATGAGAAGGAGGGTGAGAAGGTACCGTGCTGTAGTGACCCGTGCTGTGCCGGGTGGTCTGTCTCAGACGGTCAGAGACGGTCAGTCTGGTTTTGCTGCTTGACACTTGCAAGCAAAGCCAGAGAAACAGTGCTTCTTCGTGAAGAACGATCACCCCCCATCAACCTTGACACTCACCCAGAGGTCCATCAAAAATGTCACCTCAGAAATGGATCCAAACTAAAACCAAAGGGGCCGAACGGTCGCCTCTTTCGACCCAGCCTGAAAGCAACGAACCGAACAGCGGCTCGTCCGTGAGCACCGAAGCCGCGGAACCGAAGGCGACGACGCCGTGTCGCCGTGTCGCCTCCAGGAGGCGGAGAGAGTGTGCTGACCCCAAGCCACGACCTGAAGGAGGTCGAGTTGAAGTCAGGTCGAGTACGTCGTCGAACGATGAAGTCAGGTCGAGTACGTGGTCGAACGAGTACGTCAGGTCTTTTCAACAGCGGAGGTAAGGCAAACGTCGTGCACGAGGTGAGTCGAACGTGGAGGATGGGGAAGGGAAGGACGTGTGGGGGCATGACTTCTTGAGGGACGTGAGCATGTCACTTCTGCAACCTCTACCGGTTGCAAATTTTAGACCCTGCTTCTAATGCACTTTTGAAGGTGAAGACATAGGTGGACATTTGGGTGACAGTGAAAGGGCTGAGTTCCTATGGAAGCCAAGCTCTTTTGATCCGCCCAAAGGACGATGAAGCCATAGATTTCATCAGATCAAAAACCCAGCGAATCCAGTCAGACCACTCTCGCTGGTAGCCAGCTGGTTCCAAAGAACTCACACCGATCGAACGAGGGTGGTCCAGACGATTCCTTACTACTTACGGCCCAACGGATTTGGTTTGCCCAACAGAAGGAGTGTCTGATTTGGCCGTCAGCGCACACACCAACAGTGTTCAGATTGGCCGGATTTCAATCCACATCCCGTGTAAATGTCACAATCCCATGTCCTCTCCCATGGAGACCACCATTGTGTTCTCCACACCCATGTAAACACAGCCACCACGTCAACAGCCAGGTGTTCGCTCGTGGCGACCCGGCGTTCGGCGCTGAACGTATGGGGGGGATGGATTTCACACCAGCTTGGGGCGTTCTGTGAGCGATCGGGCGCCGAAAGCAAGGGGGGCGTTTCCGCTCCTGGAGCAATGAAAGCTGATGGATTGGGTCCCTGCCAGTGGCGGCCCCTTCAACCAGAAGCCCACCCGTCCCGGGCCTAAAGGAGGTCTAAAGGATGCATCAAGAGGCCAAGAGGCAAAACGATGCGCCGGTGGGTCGTTTTTTCGGTCCCTGGTCTTTTGAACCCGCCACTTTTGGACGCTCTTCACCTGGTAGGTCTGCTCCGTGACCAAGGCGGTGATCAGCAAGGGATCCTCCCAACTGCCACCTGAAGCGAAGCGAAGCGGAAACTGGTCACTGAGTTCTGAAACCTGGAAGGACATCTTAGAGCAATTTAAAGCGTTTTGGCATACAAACCCAGAACGTAGGCATATTCCTGCTTTGATAGAAGGCATTTTTGGCAAACAGGGGACTGTTTATTCATCAACTCTTGCGATAGCCCAAACGTACATCATTTAGACAATGCCTTCTGCAAAGACTCCAGAACAAGTCTTGTCCACAATCTCTCTCCACTTTCAAAACGGGGCATTTCGGAAGAGGGCCTCTGTGAATTCTTTCGGGATGGCCTCGTTCCAAGTTTCTACCACACTCATTGGAGAAAGAACACGCGCCGATCAACGCCCCACGGAGATCGATTGTCCTATCCAGCATGAACATGAGTTCACATGAGTTCAGTTGAACCACATGTCTTTCCTCTGTTGAGAGAACCACCCACAAGGCATGTGGGGAATCGTTGCCACACAGAACGATGGGAGCGGGCGGGCTATGCGGGACCTGACTCAAAGTGACCGAACTTGAGATCCACGTTCGTTCCCGTTCGGGTCACGTTCATTCCCGTTCGGCAGCCCCTTTTTCAGTTCGGGTCACGAACTGAAGAAGCTGGGAGCTTCTTAGTCATCCAAAGAGGATTTTTCGAACGGTCACGGACATTCCACAAGAATGTCATGATTGCGATGGTCTATAGACGCTGACGCTCTATGATTTCTATATAAACATCACCTCATATCACCTCAATGACCCTATTTGCCAAAAAGAACGGTCGCACCGCCGCACCGCTTCGACGACGCGGAGGCTTCTCGCTTCGACGCTCCTCGACCCGTCGTGCGAGTTGACGACCCGGCACCGCTCAGCGGCGACGCCGCGGTGAGGACTTCGCCCTCGAGGAGGAGGCTCAAATCCCCTGAGGCCACCAGAGAGGGGGCGAACGAAGGAGCTGAAAGAGGAAGCACTCCCAGACGTTATGCCAGCATATGAATTTCTAGCCTATTACGTTATGCCATGTTATCATGGTATAGTTATAACATATAGTCATGCTATGACGTTATGCTAATAAATTCTACTATATGTATGCCATGACCATCCATGTAACGATGCCAAATAGTTACCTCATATGGATGGGTCATAAAGGGGTCATAACATGTATGTGACTATTCCGCGCATGGATGGTCTAAACGAATGGCGAGAGATTCCCACTGGGATTTGACAGGTCTATTCTCTTCTTGGTAATTCCTGGAGGGTCTGACCGGGGGGAATCTCTTTCAAGACGAGTTCCAAAGGAGTGAATTCCGTTTTCTTCACATATGAGAAACTTCGTTTGCTTGGGTTGGGGCCTCCCAAACATGTACCACATGGAAACAAAAAGACACGCACTGAGTCAATGCTCAGGTTCCATGTTCCTTTTGTGAGGGTTTGGTTTGGTTGCGTTCTCGCTGGTCCGCCTTCGAAGGCTTCACGGTCCAGCTGTGGGGCCTGGGGTTCCGTGGGGTTTTCGTGGGGTTGCGTGGCCTGCCCCCAGCAGCGCTTCTGTGAAGGAAGGACTTTTTCTTGTTTTCGACACACATGATCCGCTGGCATTGCTTCAATTCTTGGGCTTTGGCGTGGCTTTTAAAAGTCAACGAGCTAGAAGAATGAGGGGTCAAAAAGAACACCAAAGGAGCACACGCACACACACACAGAGTTAGACAAAGGGTTTTCAGTCAACTCAATTCCACGCGAAAAAGAATGATGGAACAGAAAGGGGGTGGAGTCAGCTCACTTGAATGGTTGAAAACACTGGTTGCGCGTGACTGCAGAGCGCGGCGGTGGCAAGCTCAGCGGTAGGAAAAGGGTTTGTGGGGAGTATCATGCAAACCACCATGGAAGCAGACAGAGGAGTGGAAAAGCTTGGCCAAAAGTTTCAGTTGCAGGTACAGGAATGTGCATCCACATTCCCTTCCGGCTGAATCCCACAGCTTCGTTGGCATGGCTAGGGAAACAGCTGCCATGCCCCTTGCGCACCAAAAGAAGAATTTAAACTCCTGGAAACGGAGGGTGACGCACACTTAGATGGTTGCTCGCAAGAGCTAGGATCAGAATGAAGTCCCACTTTATACGCATTAGACCTTGACTGAGAAAAGCGCAAAAGGAAAGGTGATGGGTCCGCGGATTTGAAGGTGTTATAACAATGTTTTTTGGACTGGACGGCTGGAGGCCTTCGATCAAACGTTAAACAAGTTGTTGCAGGTACGTCGGTGAGCGTCCCCACCGATATCAGGTCTGGTACTTGCATGAACAACCAGCCTCTCCAAATCTATTTCAAGACCAGTAAGCTTCGACGAGTGTTGCCTTGACTCGTTGAAATCTGAGGCTGAATCCCATGAGCCACCTTCGCAGCTATCATCCGCCAACGTACCAAGAGCCTGTAGACTCCAATGGCCTGTTGATAACTCAGCCCTCAGACTACAGAATGCTGTAAGCATGTCCTCCACGCTCTGGACAAGGTAGAAGAGGCCTGATTGCACTCCTCTTGACCTCGTATATGCCACAGTGCCTGAAGGTTCTGCAATTGGCAATCTATACAACCTCCTGATCAATGATTGTACATCTGAGACCTGTATTGCACTGTTGTGGGATCCGACAAATTTGTCAGCATGTAGCCCCTGCCTCTTTTTTTTGCTCGCGCTGTTTTTGATTTTGGTTTGGTTCCTAGTAGCAAGGCCAGGAGCAACTAGTAGCATCCATCCTTCTAGTGAGATCTACGGCAGGCAACCTTACTAGGCACAAACCTTGGAAACAGGTGTTAACACACACACACACTTAGGATAGGGTGTACTGAACTGAAAGCGGTGCCACACGCCGGCCTAGGGTTCCAATTCCTAAGGGTACAGGTATGGAGGTCTAGAAAGGAAGAAGAGGTCCCTCAAGTTCAGCAAGGCCATCAACGCTAAAGGAACCATCGAGCGATCGATCGACAAGATGACGGCGGTCCGTGCGCATCTGCAGAACTCACTAGCCCTTTACGAGAAGATTGGAGTGAAAGCTTGTCAACGCCACAACCATGCAGGTACGTGGATTCTGCGTCCAGAATCCATATCAGTGACTTGTAACAGCCTCTTCGTTGGACTGCCACTGTTACAAGCCAGGCAGTCACCTTCGATTCAATGAAGGCAGACTTCAAGTAGCTCTCGACGCCCACATCATGTAGCGTGCAGCGATCGGCAAACGTTGGAATGTAGCCCCGTTCTCCAGGATCTACCCCAAGCACGCCAATCGGTGCTTCAAGAGCAGCCTTCTTCTTAGGCTCGAGCTCCGCCATTGCTTCATCTTCCCGTTTCTTATTAGCAGCGGCCTCTGCCTCAGCCTTGAGGCGGGCCTCTGTTGCAGGGTCTTTGCCCCCCTCCATCCTCGCTTGATGCAAAAATGCTATCCACATGACATTTATAACATTGCACCTGAGTAAGCGATTTGTCACTACAGTTGTACATGTACATAATCTAACCTACACATCTTTCAAGTTCTAACAACTCGCTGGAGTCATCTTCCCTAGATTGAATTCTAGCTAGAAACAAACTAGTCCGCAATCTAAGTGCAGTTAGGACTTATTATCTGACAAGTACGAAAGTTAAGCATGTAATAACACTGTTTAGTGGCAAAATGCCAACTAAAAAACGAGTTTCTGCCTGGCATGAGCCAGGCAGTTGAGATATAGAACTAGTCATAACTGGAATATATGCACTGTTTCTACATAGAAGAGAAGGGTGGGCCCAGAGGGACAAGACAGGGGAGGTAATGAAGTCAGTGGATGCGCCCAGCGCACCACTTACGACAGACAAAACTACCCCAGGCATACGCCCGGCCCGGTAGAATGTGAGACGCTCTCACGGGCATCTTTACCAAATGATGGAACAAATCCAAAATGCAGGTCATTCGGACCTGGCCTTCAGCGCATTGTGGCAAGGCCCTCAAGTGCCGCTTCAACTCGGCGACTCCTGGCCGTTCCCGCGGCCGGCTGGCCGGTCGGGGGGAACGGTGTGAGTGATCGTTTTTTCTCCTCACGACATCGAAACACCATCGGAGGGCCCCTGGGGTGGGGTTGGGGGGTTGGAACCAATCGAGGTTTGTGCGGTTTTTTCCTGTCTGGCAAAGCAAAGCAAAGCAAGCGTTGTTTTGGTAAGGTTGACAAAGAACCAATGGTGGTTGAAAGGATCTTGGCATGTGGACATGGTGTGGCTCATGGATGAGCTAAGACCTCCAGCCTCCTTGGGGCTAGACGATCCCCTGGAAGGTTTTCTTGGAGCAGGGTCCACCCTGAAAGGGCTCAAAGATGAAGACGAGAGCACCTGTTGCGCACCGGCACGTGCGCATGCACGGTGAAGTAAGGTAGGGGTTGGCACCGGCATCACCTAGGAGTCTACACTACCCCAGACGCTCCATATATGCCATATATGTCTACATTGGGGTGGTTTTGAGGGGTCAATGTAGGCATATATGGCATATTTGGAGTGTTTGGGATGCACTACTTGTGATTCTCCATTTTTCGCACCCGACTCGTGAAGGTCCAGGTACTTCCCTCCGCTCGGTTAGACGTCTGCGCTACTTCGTCGCGGCGCTGCTCGCAGCGGTCTGCGGGCGCCGTGCTGTGAACTCCGTTGCTCGAGACGGATTCCAAGACGCACGAAAGCGGCGAACCAGCAGAATCCAAAAAAGAACCCATGAAGCCAAACGATTCTCGATACACAACATCATACACTGCGGCGCGGCAGCGCCATCCAAGGCCAAAAGCAAACATCGCCGATTTGCCGTCAGCAACACCCAGTTTGAATAGTTTTATTGGAACACATAGTCAGGGGTGTCTAAAGACCATCCTTTCAATGGTGCTGGTATCAAAGCTTCTTGTTTGCATCCTCTCCGCTTTTCAGGGGATTGTCCTCTCCTTCTCTCCCTCCCAGCCAGAACGGCTCCGTCAGCCCAGTCTCGCCTTCGTTTCCGACCCCCCCCAGCCCAGCCAATCGCTCGCGCGCGCCCGCCTTGTTCGATCGCCAAGGGCGCCAGCATCGTTGCCCCGGCCATGCTTTGGACCGTCACGATCGCCATTGGGCGGGACGCCACCGAGCTCCGCGACCGCTCGTCGCTCCGCGACCGTCGCTCCGCTCCGCTGAGCGGAGTCCGCGCGCTGCGCGGTTCGGTCGGTCCGAGCCGAAGGATCCGATCGGAGGAGAGGTCAGGCGGGATCCCAAAGTACCAGGAGTCACATGTCGCTCAAAATGCCGAAACGAACGGAGGAAGTCCGGAGTGCCCAGCTACTCCACAGCCCCTGGATGGGACGAGGCAAACCACCCGTTTTGTGACCCCAAGTAGGGGGGATCTCGTTGAACCAAACCCCTTCTGACACCAACGAAAAGAACGGCCCTTCTTTCCAAGTGGACTGGACGTCTTGAAGAGCCGAGGATATTTGTTGTCTATATAGAGATCATCTTTGAGTTTCATCCATCAAACACTTATTGATCAAAGACCACAAAGCAACACATCTCATGATATGTCATGCCGCAGCCTAGAAGATTGCCAACATTGGGGCCTTCTCGCAGATCCAAATCTTGGAGCTCCCCCCCCAAACTCCTTCCACCCCCCGTCCATCTCGCTGCGACCGGCCCGGCCCACCTGCCTCGGACGCCATCCGTTGCAAGGCCGCCTGCGATCGAGCGGGTCCGGGTGCGAAGAACGCCCAAGGTCCGACCCTGGGAGTACTCCAAATGACTTATTACCCAAACACGACGACTGGGACTGCCATATATACCGCCCCTACCTTGACCCCTCTGGCACCACCCCTGGCCGGAACTCTCGGCAGTCCGAATCGGCAGTCCCAGCTAGGTCGTGTCTGGGTTACAGTGGTTTCAGAGGTTCGATGGCACTGGCACCCCTACATGTCCGAGGTCTGGGGGTCCAGTCCTAAACCACCCGACCGACTGGGGGCCCAGACGTGCCATCGAACCTCTGAACCCGTACAGAGAACATGACCCAAAAACCACAAAAACAAAAACGACAACACACAACGACCTTCTTCGCGTGGAGAGACACCGACCAACACACCCCCTCCCCGTGTTCGGACTCTAAGGGGGTCGACGCACTGACTCCGCGAGCGGCGGTCCGTGAACGGTCCCTCTTCCGGTTGTGACAGCGGCAGAAACCGGTCAAACCATGGTAAGAACCATCGTCTTGAGGTCCAAAGGGCGTTCTTTTCCTTCCAAACATCTCGAAGACGTGTTGATAAATGCCTCAGCCAAGAATTTACTGTAGGTCGTTTGAAGATCTAAAGGATGATCTGGTCTGGGTTATACTTGTCCAGAACTCAACACATGTGCAACCGAATCGAGGGTTCACATCCTGAAACATATATCGGAAGGACAACTCTCAATCAGCAATCACTATCTCTGAAGGAGTCTGCGTTTTTCCTATTGTTTCAAGGACCGGTTCCACTTGACTTTTGGCCCCTACCACAGCCATCGGCCTCAGCCATCTGCAAGGAAGCAAAGGGCAGCGGAACCGGCGGTGGGGTCTCGACCTGGCAAAGGTCCTGACAGAGGTCCCGCTGCGAAGTCTCACCAAGCCGGATCTCTTCGGGCTGCGTCATACTGCCGGGAAAACTCTTTAGAATGGACACATGAAAATGGACTCCTGGTTGCGTGGGATGGCGTTCCCCGCAAAACCGATAGCTCCGAAGATCAAAGGTGAACTCGGTCCACCGATTCTTTCTACGGAGTGGTCTCCCAGTTCCTCCAGGCAGGCAACCACGAGGTCGTTGGGAGGCTCACTAGTTCAAGAAAAATCCTCCCGGCAAGAGACCCCAAACAGTGTGGCGGTGTATCATGGTGTATCTAAAAGTGTATCTAAAGAAGTTGCCCCCTCATGATCGGCGGCAACCTCAGCGACTGAAAAACCCATCACACGTACTTCATTTCTGTCGGCTCAGCTGCAACAACACACTTGAAACAAGCCACACATGAAATTTCACACCAAACGCATTCAAACAAGAATGCGCACCAGTTAGATAATGAACATCGCTTGAATTACTTGGCTTAATTGACAATAAGCCTCACCAACAGAAACGAAGACCGCAGAAAAAAGACATGCCCTGTGACAATAACTCAATTTTCTGCCAAAAAACGGGTTCTTGGATTTCTTGAATTTCATGAAATCACTTTTTCTTCTGTGAGAACTTCACACACCTTTTTCAATGTCCACCCCCAAAGTGGCCAATTGAAGCATTCCTACCGGGACCCACAATGAACCTGTTCTTCACGAACACTCCCCAACCTCCCCAGAGAATAGAAAAGGGCTTCATGGACCACCGCCCGGGCACCGCTGCTGCTTTTCGCGCGCACCGAACGCGTGAAGCGAAGCGAACTCGACCTGGGCCCCCGCACGGAGGGCGGTGCTTCTTCCTTCGGAGGCGGTGTGAGATCCACGGAAGGCACACCTCGGTGGCCGTGGCGGACGCGCACAGCGACGAGCGGATGCGACGCCGGCGTGTGGGCGTTGGGGGCTCGGGCTTGGACCAAACGGCGAGAGGCTGTAGACGCTTTTTAAAAGAACTGTATATGCAACAAGAGGTGAAAGGACATGCCCGAAGCACTCCAAATAGCCATCATCTAATCTATTGATTGCCTACATATCGATCTACTTGTATCTACCTATCCACTGGTCACCTGATCATGGCCGAAGGATGCTGAAGGAGATGAGGGTAGGTCCTTCAGCATCCGTCTCAACCAATGGCCTCCAAGCTAAGGAGAAATGAATCATCAAACAAAGAAAGAAGGACATAAGAAAGAGAAGACATCATCAGCAGTGGCCGCCAACCTAAAGAGGAATGGCCAACGGCCTCCAACCTAACAGCAGTTGGCCTCCAACCCAACCCAACCCAACCTAATACCAATGGCCTCCAACCTCTCCACCTCGCGTCTCACGTTCACTGGGGCTGGCCGGGCAAATAGGCGACTTGGACATGGCCTGATCGATGGGACAGTGGCAGGAGGAGTCGCTGCGTTGTAGCAGCTTCCCACACCTCCCACACTCACCAGTCACTACCCCAGCTCCCACCGGACGCCAAAACAAGGAAGACCACCAAACCACCTGGTGATCGATTTAGAGAACGTTAAGGAACTAATTAGCAGGGAAGGGTCAAACGAGTGAAGGGTTTTTAGATGTGTTTTAGTCGTTGCCCAACGAATCGTTGTTTGAAAACACGTTCCTCCAACGGTTGGCCATCCCCCGGCTCCCACCGGACATCCCTTGGAACACTGGACGCAGCACGCAGCCTGCTGCTTGCTGCCGTCTTCGTCTCCCCAAACGACCCCGACTCAACGACCCCGACTCGTTCATGCACCCAACTGGTCGCTCCTGATTTCGCGGTTCGCCCCGGACCAACCAAGAGAGGTGGAACGTGACCTGAACTAGGACCCGTAACCTGGGGTGCCCAACTGGGATAGTCTAGTTCGGGTCATTCAACCTCCGTTGGAAAGGCGTCGAGTTTCGAAGTCTGTCGGACATGTCGACCGAACACGAAACCGCTCCCAACCTGCGAGACCGTGGTCTTTTCCTTCGATCGCCGGCGCCTCGGGACGCAGGCTACGAAACGCGAAACGGACCCGACAAGAGCGGACCCGTCACCTCATTGCACTATAGACGTACAGATCTCCCAGGGGGGTGAAGCCTTTTACATCGATTTCTCTCTTTTTTTTCTGGGCACGATGTGCGTGTTCAGATGCTTCGCAACGTGCGCAGTAGAACTGGGTGAGGACCGGACACTCTCCCAGCCTCGGCCGGCGCCTCGGCCGGCGCCGACACGTCGTTTCATTCGCCCAGCTTGGAACCACACGAAGACATGGCTTGCACCATCTCCGCTTCGCCTTGGTTGCAGGTCGTTGAGACAAACCTCCGGGCAAAACGAGATGAACACTGTACATGATATATAGGAAAGGGTCAAAACTCCACCATGTAGCGAATGACGGTGACCTAGGTAGGTCAAAAAAGGTACCTGGTTTTGACCGCCATATGAACCTTCTCTCACAGCTGGAGAGCCACGGTTCAAGCCTGGACGCAAGGCATTCTGCCTTTTGAAGCGGCGATCATGTCTGAGGGATCAAAACCATGAGTGTCAAACTTGGGATCAAACTTGGAACTTCAAAACCATGCAACATCTATCCTCTAGACGCGGAGCCACTGGAAGATGTACCACCAACCCTGCTCTGTCCGCCAGTGCGAGACAGATCGATGGTTCTTCTTTCCCAGAGAGATCCTGAGATGGTCGCCGATGCACGTAAACTATCCCATATCGCTTGATGTTCATCTACCTGGACTCCCCAGAAAGAGCTCAGGTACTCCAAACATGGCACATGACTGTATCATATTCGATACAAAAACACTGATACCTGGATCCTCCAGGTGCTTCATCTACCTGTGTCCCAGAAACCGTGGCATGCCACGTACTTCTCAGTACAACTCGGAGGGTCAGAACACCAACACTGAGGCTGGACCGATCGCTTAACGGGTGCAACGGGCGCAACTCGTAGGAGACCCTGAGTCTTTGGCACTTCAGATCCCAGAACCCCTAGCCCGTTCGACTTCCGTTCGACCATGAAAAACCATGGGAACGATGCGGTTCTTGTAAAGTAAAATCCGAAACGTTGATTCGGGATTACAGCCCATGAAATGCTTCTTGGAAGCCTAGGGCTTCGATCCGAAACCACATCCACGGAGTCGACCCACGGGATGCGATCCGACCGGACCGGCCCGTTGGGAACGACCGGACGTGGTGCCAGAGCTGACAGGACCTGTGCGGACGCGGCGACGCGGCGACCGAGAAGGAAGGTGAAGACAAAACGGGTGCCAACACGTGTATAGGTTATATAGGTTATTTGTATATTTATATGGATCTTGGTTGGCAAACACATGGTGTGGCAGATTGACTGATGTCAATTTGTGTTTTGGTGGCCGCGTTCTGCCACAGATATCCTGACATTAGGTAGACACATGGGCTGGATGTGCCGGGTGATCTAGGGAAAAATCAACCCTTGGGTTTTTCTTTCGTTCTTGCTTCA